TGGTACAACAGTCGGCTCTGGAAGGATCGCTTTTTTCTTCTTTTTCCTTTCATTTTTTGAAGCGAGTGGTTGAAGCAAATGGAGCATAAGAGCCCCCTGGTGGCTGAAGAAAAAATCCACGTATAAACCGCACCGGACTATAAGTCGCATGGTTCAAAGTTCAGGAAAAAAGTCGCGGCTTATAGTCCGAAAAATATGGTAATCCCAAAGTATCTGTGAATTAATCATGATTAATCTTAAATTTAATATACATTTCTATAGCATATTGATTAAATAAATTACTTGAGTTATTAATTAGTTTTTAATGTTTTTATTTAGAAAACAAAATTGATGCTTAGACATGCTTTTTGAATATAAAACAGGACCTAAAAAATGCTCCAAACATATTTGAGTCAGGTAAATTTTGTGCAGAATAATGAGATTAAATCAAGAATTCAAGGATTTTCATTCCAAACGAGTACTACGAGGAATGAAAGATGGATACTAAGGTCACAGTTGTCAGCAAATCATAAATAAATAAAATAAAATAAGGAGACCAAAAAAAACCCTGTACATAATGTTTTACACATGGAGTTTTTTATTTATTTATTTTATTTATTTAACCTTTATTCAGGTAAACTGTTTGAGAACCACTTCTCATTTACAAACATGACCTGGCATGCGCTGAGTGCATTGTAATTTACAAACCTACATATTCAGCCATAGTAAAGTGATTGTAAATTTTAATCGMGGTTAAAATTTTTAATCTGTGCCCAGCACTAAAATTAATCAATATGAGTTAACTTGATTCATTTCACAGCCCTAGAAAAATATATAAATATGAAAAATAAAGCTTTCCAGTCAGTAAAATCACGAAAAAATAAAGTGCACAAAACATAAAGAGAATAAACATCTGCTTTAACCAACTCGTTATTTTCTAGGAAAATCAAACTCACATCATCACCTAATATGTTTGCCAATAATTGTGATCTGAGCTACAGGAGAGATGTTAAAGAGAAAACAAGGGAAGAAAAACACTAAATATGTTTAAAACTGCAGTTAAACTTAATGAAATAAAAATAATTTTAGGACTTCAGTGCTTAGATCCACATTATATAAATTAAATTAGTGATAATCTTAAATTTAATCTGCAGACTTAGATATCACGAGACAGTGAGGACGAGGTGAAGAAGTAACAGATCTGTGAGTCAAACACAGCCGGGCCCAGAGATTTAGTTTACAGAGACAGTACCAGAGAAAAACATTACAGTAAATATTACATCCCGCTTTGTAAACCAGGTAGAAGCAGTGGCAGCTTTGCGTGATTCAT